TTTGTGGCGACCAACCAGGGGATATCTGGTCCTGGAAGAGGGCGTGTTTGGTCGTTCAAGAAATGGCAGAAGTCCGCTTCGAGCATTATCAGTCTCTGAAGCAGCCAACAGCTGGGTGGGACGAGGGCCCAAGATCCGGCAGCCTCAATGGGCCGCGAATTCCAGTAAGTTTACCCGGCCCCTGACCCTGACGTTGTGTTGTGCTTTTATTTCGCCTGTGCCCGCTACCCTCGCCGACTTGACCGCCTGGACGGGGTTTCGCATCCTGCCTGACCTTGTGGGTTGCCTTGTCGGCCCCTCGATCAGGCACCTTCCTCCCACCGAAGCGCTTCCCGCCTCGACCTTCCTGCCGCACTTATTTTCCTCACCTCCACAATTCCCAGCTTAACACTGCCAGCTACCAATATGTGTGTACCTGCAGGCAAGAAGTAACTTCGCTAACCCATCGTCCTCCTCCAGACGAAAATACTGGCATCATTTCCAACGCCATCGCCAACGCTGGCAAGGTCTTCTCGGAACCAGGTCAAGAGAACATAAGCTTGCTCTCTCAGCACTCGAACACGTCCAGACCGCGACCTGCCTCGGCCCAGTTTACATTCACCTGTGATTCTCAAGTTCCTGGTACCCAGTGGCCTGGTATGGACCCTGCGGTTCACTCGTCCCTTCCAGCTTATGGTGGGGCCAGCCGGACCAAACACGCATCGATGGGAACCCAAACGGCCACGGCAAACGCTGGCGCCAACCAGCAGGGCGCGCCTGCTCAAGGCAACGCGGGCGCACCAGCTGCCGCCAAGAAGAAGAAATCTAGACGTCGCGCAGAGAGGGACCTCAAGATGGCCGCTGCTCATCGTCGCCGTGAGCCAGAGAGAAAGCCTACCACAACCCGCCCCGTCCCGAGGACATGTGGATATGCGAGTTCTGCGAATACGAGCAGATTTTTGGCGAACCGCCCTACGCCCCTCATCCGTCAGTACGAGATCAAGGACCAGAAAGCCCGCCGCCAGGAACAAGAAAGAAAACGGCTGCTCGAGAAGGCCAAGGCCAAGAGCCGCAAGGGAAGAAGGCCAACAGTGGCAAGCCCGGTGCTAAGAACACTGATTCGTCTCAGCCGGAGCCGCAACAGCAGCCTCACAGAGTTGACGGAGGGCATACGGACGGAACGCGCTCGCAGACCAATAGCACGGACGAGGATGAAGAGGGGTACCATAATGGCGAATCCGACTACGACGGCCGCTCCTTCACTCACGATGACCCGCCCATGACACTCTCGGACGACCCAGACCCCGAATACCCCGACGACGAACGCCTGGCATGTCCCTGTGCGTCCTGCGTGGCCGGCGCAGGGCACGCAGGGGTGCCCGCCTAGAGAGGAGGCAAAGAAAGACTCGTTCCTGCGTGTCGTCCAATGTGATACCCAGGAAGCCTGCATCTGGACCACTTGGCTACTTTTGTTTTATTTTGGCATTTCTGCGCGCACAGCGTTCTGTTTGAGTTTTGGATTTGACAAGGGACCCAAGATGTGCCCCAAAGCACGTATGAAGTCGATGGTCTCAACCGGTGATGAGGCCTGGATGGCAACTGAGGATTGCACGAGAGGAGGCGTCATTGTGCGAAGTGTTGCGAAGCGCGTCGAGGCTTCGCGCACGGTGTTGAAGGCTGTCGAGTCCGGGTTGGAGCGGGGAGGGGACAGAGAGGGAGCCAAGAGAAGAGGACTGGCGATGGATGCTAGGCCGCAGCCTGCTAGGCGTTGCACGACCTGACGCAGACAGTCGCCAGTACCGGTGGGAGGTTGTCGTCAGGGTCTTGCGCCATGCCAGCGACAAGGCCCAAGATGGATGGGTGGTGGACAGGGACTTCGGGCTTGAGGAAGCCCTCGATCTCGTCTGAGACATGTTCGAGTTAGCACCCTCAAACTGGTCACGTCAATCTCCGTCTGACCACTTCACATGCATTGTTCGCAAGCGCATGACACAACCCTGCGTGGACTAAGACGCAATGTTTCGCGGTGACCGGGCATGCGACTACTTGTGATCAGCTAAGCTCCGTCGACCGCCCACCGTGCGCTGCAACTCGAGAGGTATTGCGATTCGCGAGAGGCCTCATGCGCGACGAACGGCGCAGGTTGTCTCCTCTCGACTCTAGACAGTATTACGTTGCCCTTGCTTCAGGCCTAGACAAGCAAGTGTGTAGGATGAAAAGCTAGCGTGGGTGCACGTCCGGGGCACTGGGGGCAGCCAGGGCAACAGCAGCACAGAGGCATCTATCTGGTCCTGTGCTGCATGTATGACGTCGTGCCGGCCCCACCACTCCATCGACTTTCGACTGTGTCTCCCAGCTTTTCGGGGGGCGGGTGGAAAACATAGAGAACAACAGACACAACCACCACCACCACCACCACCACCAAGGGGCGCACGATGCACCGGGAGGTCTCGACAGGATCCGCGTTAGTGCCGGAACAGTCGCGTTCCTGAACGCAGCGGGTCGAGCCACGCCCGAGTCAATCTTGGCCAAGGAAGCTGGCGAGCTTGTCTCAGGTCCCCCCGATGGTGCAGGCTGTTTGTTGATTGAGGCTGAGCATGAAGAACAAGCACGGCCGAACCTGGCTCGTGAGGAGCCGCGCGCCGGGGGGGGGGGGGAGGAGTGGGATTGGGATTGGGATCTACCCAGAACGGCCCAGGCTAGGGAGCAAGCTGCCAAGGCCTTTGGGGGCCCGACGTCAGCGGGGGAGAAAAAAAAATACTCACCAGCAGACGAATACCGAACTCGACGCTTTGTGCTGTGTTTAGCTGTTGCCTGGGCAGCACCGGCACCTGAGCACGATGTGGTCTCTCCCCCACGTCAAGACAAGGGAACGGAGGAGGGGAGGGAGGGTTGTGGTCCGATCCAGGGACGAAGAGCCTTGGTATTTTGAGAAAACCATTTGGTCGTTGAGGGTACACAGGATGTATCGGATCCGCCGATGCGGCGCCATCAGTTGGACGAAGGACTGGACGTGAACGTGTCGTGTGGCGGCTGGTCGTCGTCTGAAAGCGGCAGCTTGTGCAGAATGGGGCTGCGTGCTTGACGAATCTAGGTACCTACCTACCTACCTACCTACCCAGCTGTCGCAGGGGTTCAGAGCGTGCGACACTCGGTGCAGAAGGGTTCTTTCTGGCGGTAGGGCCTGCTCGTGATGTTTGTGTGTCCATGTTGCCTTCTCAGCGATGCAGGAGAGGAGAGCCATGAGACTCTGCTTGAGGAACCAGAAGAGCCGAGTCGCCATGCATGCGACAGGGGAGAGAAGGGTGCGAGCGAGGTGAGCTTCCTATGAGTGATCGACGCGGGAGCGCATCATGACGGCGCTGTCGATGTGGGCCAGCAGCTAGCAGCTAGCAGCAGCAGCAGCGGCAACAGTAACAGCAGCAGCAACAGCAGCAGCAACAGCAGCAGCAGCCATCAGAGGAAAGCTACCGCGTGCGCTGAATAAGGTGGATCAGCGCTACCTGGTCTGCCTGGTCTCTGAGTAGCCCCGGTAATTCCCTGTTTAGGCCGCTTAGCGCAGCCTCCCACCGCGTCCGTCGTCATCAGTGGAGCTCGACTCTGCACCTCTCTGTGCCTGCTGCTGGTTGCTAGTTGCCGCTGCTCGCTGCGCGATGCTCGCTGCTCACCACAACGAAATAAACGACGGGTCTTGCTTCCTTCCTCAACTCCTCAACCACCCCTGCCCGTGTTTGCCCTTGCCTGCATTGCCCGCCCTTGCTTGCCTCGCCTTCCCTGAGTGGTAAAAATCCACCATCCCAATCCCCAGGGCCAAGCATCGCATCAGGCAGACCACCACCACCCCCCAGCTCTTTTTTCCCACCCTGGAAACGGGGAGAGTCCTCCATCCATCATCCGACGCTCCGCATCATTCATCGACCGCATCAGCATCATCCTTCCCTCTTCCCCCCCCCCCGGTCCCTTCTCCAGTCATTCTTTGGTACCGCGTCCGCCGCAGCTTCCGGCTCATCAGTCTGGACCGTGTCCGCCGCCCCCCTACCGAGCGAGCACCACACGCAACGTTCATACCAAGCACCGCAGTAATGCAGGCTGCCATTTAACGTTCCTCGTAAACAACGTCAAAGCTGGAGACTGCGCCCACCATCCGACCCTCCTGGAAGTGAAGCATCGACGAGCTCGCCATCATGTTCGGCAGCATGAGGAAGAAGCACCGGCAGCCAGCACAGGTAAGCTACCAATTGGAGAGACTTCTTCTGCTGCCCCTCTTCACACTTCTGCCACCATCCTCCAAAAGGAAGACCAAGTGGAAGACAAAGAAAGAAAACCCCCGTCTGACCGTTGCGACCTTCTGTAGCCTCTGACTGCCGCCACCGCAAACCCAAACGCGGCCACCGCCGCCGCTGCCGTCTTTGGGCGCCAGAACTCCAATGCCTCCCTCTCCTCCGCCGCCGCCGCCGCCGCGTTGCGATCAAGGCCGACGACGCCGATCAATGTCGGCGAGGTCCAGACCAAGCGCACCCAACGCCGAAGCGCATCCGTCTCCTCACAGAACAGCCAACACGACGCGCGACGAGCTCTTCACAGAACCGCCAGCCAAAGCTCCATGACGGAACGCACCTTCCGCACGCCCTCGCCCTCGCCACATCGACCCGTCTCGTCGGGCGCATACGACTCGCCGCCGCCAGTGCCCGCCATCCCCGAAGACATGCGATCCGACAACGGTAGGAACACTCACAAGAGAGCAACCAGCTTACAGACTCAGCCCTTCCGAGTCGCAAGCCAGAAAAAGCAAGGAGGAGCGGGGTCTTGGTTCGGCGCCGCCACCGAGGGCGCAGCGGTCAATGTCAGAAAGTCGGATGCGTTGCTGTCGCGAACTCAGCCCTCTGAATCTCGACCAGGAGCCGTAAGCCCAACTTCTTCTATCAATTTCTCTCGTCCAAGAGCCTTGCAGGCCGGCTCACCGCCCGCCTCGCCCATCTTCGAAAGAATGCCCTCAGTGACACACAGCCAGCGATATGTTGCTCCCCAGCGAGCCCAGTCCGTCACCTCGACGCACTCGTCCGTCGCCTCCGACCAGTCGTTGGTCTACGACCCCAACTCGAGACGGATGGTGCCCAAGGCCGATTTGCTGGCAAGGGAGTACGACATCGAGCCGAGCGAGAAGCCAGCCAAGAGGAAAAAGAAGCTGCAGCAGCAGTTGCCGCTGGGCAGGAGCGGGTCTCATCTTGCGCAGGGAACAGTCGCGAGAGCCAGAGGTACTGCAGTTGAAGGTGAGAATCGCACGTTCAGACACGTTCACAGCCACAGACACAGGCACAGATCCAACCAGAAGGTTGAGACCAAAGCCAGCCCCAACTCGTCGTCCGAACCAGCCTCAGTCGCAACGATTGTCCGGCCCGAGAGTCCAGAACCCAAGACCCGTCAACGCCACCCGCAGACGGAGCAACCGGCCCCGATCATGACAGCCGCAGTCGCGGCCGCCGTGGCGTCAGGGACAGGCCCTCGAACGCCGGAGCCTCCTCACGCGCAGGCTCCGACCACAGCCGATCGCACGGGTCACGTCAGCAACGGCACCTCTGCTCCAGTCCAGGCTCAGCAGACGGACAGTGCGCCACCCAGCGGCAGGGGCGAGCTTGAAGACGAGGAGTCTTCCGAAGAAGATGAGGAGGAGGAGGGGGAGGAGGAGGAGGAGGATCTCGTTGATGGAGCTACCGCTCACACTGAATCAGAACCCTACGGCGCTGAGGCTGTGCCCGTAAACACGGCTCGCCACTCCTCTCCCCCCGTCCTTCTCTACCAGCAGCACGGCCGTTGATAGTTTTGCCGACAACGTCATGTCGTCAGCACCGCCCAAACAGCACGGCAGCGTGCGAAGCCTCCGCGAGCATTCAAACAGCCCGGTGCGGAATGCGCGCTTTGCGCTGCGAACTGACCAACTTGTAGTCAAACACGAGCCTCCTGCGAGGTCCGTGTCGCCCCGAAAGTCGGCTCTGAAGAACTCGTCGAGTCCATCGCGAGGTGCCTCGCCGTCAGAAGATGGTTCAGATCTGGGTCTGGAGCACTACGCAAGCCACCAGGACGATCTGCCTTCCAATCGGAAGAAGAGCGTACGCGTCAGCTTTGACGAGCACAGTACGCAAGTGATTGGCGAGTCTGCCCAGGAGCAACATGCAGATTCACCTGTCGTGCCGAGCCCTCAAACAGCACGACGACCATGGTACAGCAACATTGGCCGCAACAAGAAAAAGGACTCGGTAGCTCTGGACGTCGACGAAGTCATGCACCCGCGTCCCGCCCTGCCGTCTTTTGGGAGCGTTCGGGACAAGAAGCCGAAAGAGACTGAAGAGGAGCGTCCGCTCGTGCGGCCTGTCGAGTCTGAGCATTCGCCCGCCATCTCCGCCTCGCCAGCCGCTCTTCCTTCATCGCCCGACGATGAGGAAATTGATGACCCCATTGGCCATTCCACCGACGGCAACCTGGCCTCCATTTTGACCCGAGAGAATGCGGCGAGGAACGAAGCAAACATCTCAAAGTTCAGAGAACCGTTGCCTCCTGTTGTAACCTCTCTGGAAGGAACCGGATATCACTCCCCCAGCTCTTCCAGCAGCGACGACGAGGACGGCGAGGGGTCGCCTCCTACGCAAGAGACATTCCTAGAGCCCATCGCAGAGGCTCCGTCGGAGCCAGCATTGAACCCCCTGGACAAGACGAAGGAGAAGGAAACACTTGTCGATAATGCCGAACGCACCAACGTGGGTGCTACTGGCGCAACGCATTTGCAGGTAGATACGGGTCGCGACTCGCCACAGGACGCTGTTCCTGTCATCGCCATCATCGAGCCCAGCCCAGGTCTCCAGGAACCCAGCGTGGGCAGCGCAGGCGCAGGTTACTTTGACGTTCCTGGCGGGTTCCCAGAGGACGACAGCGATGGCAATAACATATCAAGGCCTGCCGCTGTGCCCACTAGGCGTGAGGCAGAAGCCAAGACGGCTGTTGCTCCTATCCAGATCCCAACGAGTTCCACGGACCCAAGCGCCGACAATCTCGAGGCCTCTCCGCCGAACACGCCCACCGCCCGGGCTCCCGGTGTCTCCACCATCAACGAGGAAACCGAATCGTCTGGCAGCAGTATCTACAGCGATGCTTACGAAGATTTATCAGACGCCGAAGGCGACGGCTTCTTATCCCTAGATGCTGTCTTGACAACGCCCGTTTCCCAAAAGGTTTCGAAAAGACTATTCGAAAAGGCATTGGTTGGCTCATTCGAAGGAGGCATCGAAGATGATAGCATTCAGAGATCTGATCTTTTCGCGGCTTCCACTCCGGCAACTGAACCTCTCGAACTCAGATGATTGGGACAAGGCTAAACTGTATTGGAAGAGCTTGACCAACGACAACGCAAGCAGCTCGAGCGTGAGGCTCAGGAAGAGGCTGGTGTCGAGGCCGACGAAGAACAAAGTTGCGCATCCCAAGAAGACAAAGAAGAAAGAGGTCTTCACGCGCCTCTCAGGTGTCCAAGCCCCACCGAGCAAGACCCGGAACAGGAGGCAGTGCAGCAGCGTCACGGCGATGCCGAGCGCAACTATCAAATCAAGCCAGGAACAAAATACGCATCGCAGGACGACGCTGGGGTGCCCTCGATGCGCCAATCTCTGCGAGGCACCGAGTCGTCGCAGCAGGGATCTGGTGTCGGTGGCTCAAGGCTTAAGAAATCGATGAGAGCTTCACAACCCGCTGCGACAAATATACCGGAACCCACCATGCGTCGGGCGCTGCGCGCAGATCCGCCCGAGACGAATGGTGCGCACAGCCGCAAGGCTGCTTCACAGGAGGTGGCCCAGAGCAACGGCAACATGCGCAAGTCTATGAGACAGAATGGCAACTCGCAACCTAGCATCGGCCAACAGCCCGAACCGGCAGCCAGGAAGACTGGACGTCCCCTCAGTCTGCAGCAAGCTCCCACGCCTCGGGATACGGGCCGGAATCACAAGAGACAGTCATCAGTCGACTCTCCAGCCGCCGCTGCTGCTCTGGCCACCCGCACAGCCCAGCCTTCGCCGTCGTGGTTCGGATCAAACCGAAAGCAGTTTTAAGCGGCCTCGGCCCCCAGAAACAACCCAGGGCTTTGGCTTCCGTCGGTCAATGAGGGAAGCCTTCGCCTGAAAGGCGGATGGAAAATAAGAGCTCGCGATTCAGCCTCCGATCCCTATCGCCAGTTGGGCGCCAGAACACCGCGTCTCCACCCCCAACACGGGAATGGGCACCCGCATGAGCATGCGATCACTTTGCGCAGCGAGTCGGTCGACAGAGGCTCTTCTCGTATGCATATGCCCTCCTTTGGGCGATCATCGGGAAAGAAGGTTGCGGAGAAGAAGAACAAGAACCGCTACGGAGACTCGAGTGACGAAGACGCTGCAAGGCCGTCCACTTTCCGTAGCCGCTTCGCTGACTCGAGCGACGAGGACGAGCCGTCCGCGCCGCCACCTGCCGCCGGCAAGATGCCGAAGAGTCTACGAAATGGCGGTGGCGCCTCGAGCTCGGCTGCCGCAGCTGCCATGAACCTGCCGACAACTCGTCAGAGACAGGATGCGGCGGAGTTCTCAGAGGAACTCTCTGACAGCAGCGACGAGGACCAGGCACCACCGCAACGAACGCCCAGCGGCAGGCTCGTCAGGGCGAACTCGGAGGGTCGTGGTCTCCAACGCAAACGATCTGGTCGCGGCGAACTGATGGAGTCTGCGACAACACCAGCAGTCAACAGCACCGAGTCGGCCACTCGGCCTGGGCACACTCGGCGGGGGAGTTTCTTCTCCGTTCTCCGCCGAAGAAAAGACAAGGATGGTGCAGGCAAAATCTCGCGGCCGGAACCGAGAGAGAGTGCTGCTAGGCAAGGCACGAAACTCGAACGGAGCAACAGCGAGATCTCGGCGCTCCGTGTCAACAACTCATCGCCGCGCCTGCAAAAGAGGCAGCCGGCGAACTGGCCCCTCCCCGATACCACCGCACGACCGGCCACCTCTGGTGGTCCCGCCACGGGAGACTCCGCTCCGCAGCCACCATTCATGAAGCGTCGTAGCATCAGCCACACCTTTGGCGCGAGCAACAACCATCATTTGCAGCAGCAGGAGGAGCTGAACGGGAACGTCACCCCAGACCTGGACGAGCAGTCCCAGGCGGGCGGGTCTGTAATGAAGAAGAAGAAGTTTGGCAAGCTGAGGAGGATGTTTGGACTGAACGACTAGGGGTCCGCATACGTGTTGGGATGTCTATCTCACAACGAGTCGAACACCTCAGGTGGAAGAAACGCAGCGCCCGATCGAGTCAGATCGTAATTCTAATGCAACCCGAGCCAGAAAGATGCTCGGAGGGAATCTCTCTTTTGTCAATGAATGGGTACCGAAAACCTCTGGGGGCGTACGCAGGGTAACGCAGGGTAGCAAACGTTAGACCAGGACTTTGTCAACGTACGCATCTGTTTTTTCCCTTTTCTTTTCCTTTTCTTCTTTTCTTTTAGCTTTGTTTCTGTTTCTCCAGCCTTGTGATTGATGCTTTTTTTCTCGATTTGTCCCTTCACCTCGACTTTTGTATCACGAATCTGCACGGCGACGAATACTCGGGGTGTTCCATCCAGTGGACGACG